TATTTATAATATTATTCATATATTTATTTAATAATATATTATGATTATAAGTTTAAATTATTACATAATATTTTAATTATATTATTATGACTTACGAGAAAAGAGGTAAATAAAGATATCAATTTTAGAATTTTTTTATTTAAAAATGTTAATTTTATCAATTTTTAAATAAAAATGTTAATTTTTATTTTTTTTATTTCAAAATGTTAACTTTTAATTTTTTTAATTTAATAATATCAATTTTTAACTTTTTCTATTTAAGAATTAATTGGATGATAATGTTAACATAACAAAAAGATTTTTTAACTGAAATATTGAGAATTGACATATTTAAATAGAAAAAAAATTAAAAATTAATATCTTTAAATAAAAAATTTTAAAAGTTAATATTCTTATTTAAAAACTAATAAACTTAACATCGTTAAATAAAAAAATACAAAATTCACATCCTTATTTACATCACTTCTCTATGACTTACATAATACTTTGTTGAGGTGGTGGCATGCATTATTTGCCACATTAAATTTAGTTGTTAGATTGTGTGTAATAACCCCAAAAATGTCTCGGTTTATAGGGATTGAGATTGGGTTTCGGATTTGCTTGATTGGTTAATTTGAATTGTGATAGAAAAAGAATCTTGAATTTTTTTCTAATCTTAAATTTTGGAAAATTGAAGACTAGAATTCTTCTTGGGTCTTGGAGAAAAAAATAGGATGATTGATTTTTTTTTGTTTTTTTTGTTTAAATGTAAAATCATCAGGGATATAGGTGTGAAAAATAGAATCAACTCAATATCAATTATCAAGTTACTACGTATACAAATTTAAAACAATTTTAATTTCATAAAAAGGTTAGTATGATTTTAAATTTAAACACTACATGTAAAAAAATTATTAGTACTTCAAATTTCTACGTTTAACAAGACATTTTGATAGACACTACCGTTATAGCTTAGGCTCAAGGAAAGTCAAAAGAAAAAAATGTTAAACAATGAGAGAATTATTAATCGGCCATTAGCCAATGGACCATGGATTAGCTGAAAGAGGCCTAATTTTGCCCAAACTTTACCAGACAGAATGCAGAGGATGAGTGTGCAAATTGCAGTACTGCCTTTTCAGTTTGCCCATGCCTTTCTGTTTCAAGTTTCAACAAAAGCAGCTCAAATTGTAGTTGTAAAGGTATGCACAGTGTACAAGAGATGGTTTCAATTTCCCAAAAGGGAATTTTGTAAATATACATAATGAACTAGTGACTCCATTCAGCACATGGTCCTTGGTCCCACCATCTATGCTATGAATCTGAACATTGAAAAGAAAAATGGTAATCTCCTTTCTACTAATATTAGATTAAGCAAAGCAGTAACATATATACAATGTCTTTCACAATTGAAACATGGATAACTGACAATCCAATCATTCTCTACAAAATCGTATATTTTTTCTTAGCGTACACATTGAATCATGAAAAATCATCCTCATTTCTTCCACAGTTCTTAAATCACAAAGAAGGGTGAGATTTTAGACACTTTTGGGATGACAATTGCTGTTGCTGCTGCTATCTACTGGCAGAGAAATGGGGTGGTTGGTGCTGGCAATAGCTGTAGGAGTGCCTGCTTGACAAGCGTCTACAAGCTTTCTTGAACGGTGCTTTCCCATGTGCATGTACCTCTTACAGTATTTGTGATCTGGGACTGCTTCCTTGTTGCACTTCCATTTTTTCTCATTCTGTTCCCCTACACCACCCTGAATCTGGATCCAATCCATTCTTATACTCCAAATGCAGTGGCCCATACCCAAAAAAATGAAAAATGAAAATAGAAAATATGTCATGTTCATGTAGTTTTATCTGGTTGTGAATTGATATAATCTGATTTTTGGGGTTTTGGGTCACTAACAGGAGGGGGAAGAGTTGATGGAGATCACCATGGGGACCCATCAATGGAGCTAGCAAAACTTTTCCATATTTATAGAAAGAACAAGTTGATGGGGAACAGGAAGTCCAGCTTCCAGGTTCTCGTAGATTAAGAGCCTGCAAATGCAGCCTGCAAAACTGTGAACCCACAAGCTGGCCACAAGAGTTCAAGCACATGGGCTGCGTATGGTCGGAAAGCACATGGGCTGCGTATAACCGGAAAGCACATGGGCGGCGTATAACTGGACCCACATCCAAGTTTCAAAGTCAGGGTCCATTAGGTAACGGTTAATTTTACTTAAACCACTAAGACAGACCAATTGGAGCTGACCCTTCTCCTCCGTTGGACCTTTCACTGTCCATATTTCCACAATCACCCAAACTTCTCAGTCCAATCCGTAAAATTCAAGAAAATTGGAAGTTAAAATTGCATGTGAATATGTCATGAGATATAAATATCTAATCAGTTTTGTATGGAGAATGTGAGCCCAGGACTTGTAGGGTATCCAAAACTGCAAAACGAGCAATTTCCATTTCTTAAATTATGGGCATAA